AAACAGCACTGGTGAAAGGTACTAATGATATTATGTTTTTTTTTTGTTACTTAAAGACTATTAGTATTGTTTATTTTATCTTCTTTTCTTAAAAAGGGGCAGATATTATAAGATTTTTTCTTCTTTGTGCTGCCTTTCATTTTATTTTTGATTTGTATTTTTTGTATGTAAAATTTGCTTTGTTTTTAAATGGAATAAAATTAAAAATTAAAATAAAAATTCTCATGGCCTCAGACAGCGGACTTGTGTCCATTCTTGTCCTGTTAGATCTCAGTGCTGCCTTTGAAACAATTGATCACAATATTTTATTACGTAGACTTGAATTTGATATTGGGATTACAGGAACGGCTCTGAAATGATTCAAGTTATATTTGTTTAATAGAATCCAGTTTGTAAATGTTAATAATGAAACTTCTTACACCACAGTTAGTCATGGAGTTCCTCAGGGTTCAGTGCTKGGACCAGTGTGCTGCTCAGGATGATTGACTGTGATGAAGTGAAGATTCAACGCAATCTGCTGGCTTCCTTAGACTGTTTTTTGAATTTTATTTACACTAACATGAGATGACGTTTGTGGTGACTTGGCACTATACAAATAAACCGAATTGAAGTGAAACCTTTTCTACTTTCCTGAGAAGTTTAGCAAAAACAAAACACTCGTCAAAACATTGTGCCAAAGCAAACAATGAAATGTTTTCTACTTGTACATAGAGCTACTTATGCATTTGTTGGTTTCCTTTTTTCCCCTTTATTAAGGTTGCAACCATCTACAGGCTAATAAACACCAGTTTGTTGATAGTTTATTTTTATCTGCAGCATGGTTTAAAAATGCTGAAAACAGACAAAAATCCATGTTCAGGATGCTTTTCCGCAAACCACTTTGTAATTGTTGTTTTTAAGCAGAACTCCGTTTTGTATCTTTACGCCTGTGTTTGCTTATCTAATGGAAAACACAAAGTTCTGTTTAAACTCCTTTATTTTTTCCCCCCAACAGTCCACTCTCACATACCCGGGTAATTTGGTCTGCATGTCCAGCAGAATGCTCTTCCAGCCCTGAGGCTGCAGCTGCCAGATGCGAGCCGTCCCATCTCTGCTGCCGCTCACAAACCTAAAAACACACAAACAGACTCGTGCAACTCAAGGTTTGAGAAACAGAAACATCAAATATCATATCCAAGTTGTTTTATAGCTGTAGTTCAGCTTTGTGTGGCGTACACTAATTATTGTTTCTGTCCTCCACTCCCACCCCCACTTTTGCGTCGTTAGTCTGTTTTCCTCAGTGCTTCGATTACAACCCAGGAGGATAACAGCTGAGCCTGCCTTTCTGCAAACCTCACCCAGACACACTCAAAGTTCAACACTTAGATCACACAATGTGTAGGCATAAGCATGTCTTTGCCTGCGTGCTTGTGTGTGTGTGAGAGAGAGAATCTGTGTATGTGAGCATGTATCGCACCATAACTAAAGGTGGTGTTTCTGCTGACAGCATCAAATCACAGCAGCCTAAAGATTCCACTAAAACCAGCAGTCCAGCACAGCTACACACTCAGAAATATTACACCATGTTAGCTCCAGACACATGAAAAAACAAAATCCAACCTGTGTCAACTCACCTGTCACTGCAATGTGAAAATTGGATGCTGTCAACTTTGTCCTACGAAGAAAAAAAAAAAGAAATAAAAAAAATAGGAAATGTCAACACAAGTCTTTCTCACCTGCCTGTTCAGTCATGACACACAATTATAATGGATTTCTTAAAAAATAAACCAGGTTTTAACTCAAAAGCAGTTCACTACTTTTTTGTTTAGCTTTTAACATTTGCACAAGCAAAATGAGCAGAAAGTGATTGGGCCTCATGCAAGAAC